AACCGCTACTTTCGTATATTGCAAAATAGTTTTGTTTCGTATGTCAACTTGCGAAATGCTAAATTTCGGAAGTGGCTTTTGCGAAATGAACATCGGCGATTTTAAATGTTTTGTAACATTCGGTACGAAAAAATGTAATTCCGTGTTCTCAATCTCCTTACGAAAGAATGTTGTTTTTCCGGAATTGCACGAAATCCTCCGGTTAACAACCCTAATGTATACTGATATTTGTTAAGCTCACTTGTTAGGCTCTGATGAATTGACATTAGAACAGAACACATTATTTCAGAATAGCTGACAAAGATCTGCATCTGAAGAAAAAAAAACTTAAAAAAATGGGCTATGCTGACATGGTAAGAAAACCTTGAAGAGTATGTTAAAGAATAACTCTTTCAATAAGTCTCCAATAGAAACAATTTAAACAGTTCTCTCTTTCAACTTTCAACTGGTTTTAATATATTGTCTAGAAACATCTCAGATGAAAACAATCTGAAGTAACAACAGTTATTATGAATTATCTTGAACTTTTTTCTAGTGTTTACTTTAGCCTATTGCAAGCTATAAAACTGACAATGTAAAGGATATTGGAGAACATTTTTTTATATATAAACATTGAAAATATACTAATGAAAATAAAGTTTGGATTTGATAGTAGTGAAAGCCATGAAATACTTAATTAAAAAGATAATGTTAACACTAGCAATATCATACTGACAATGTTTTGCCCATTTTTACTTGAAACAGAAGCAGGTTTGTTAATATGGTTTCAAAAGTCAAAAAATGCCCCACTGAGGCAAAAAGCGCTGAGTCTTTAAATGGGAAAAGAATCAAGAGAAACTTTTCAATCACAGTGAAGTTGAAAAGGAAGAAGCCGAGAAATATCAAGAAGAAATACATAAACTTGCAACCAAACTCTCTTTTATATGGTTGAAAGATAATTGGGTGGTAGCAAAATTTTTACCTCTGCAACTGCCTTTAATTCTGACATAGAAGAGTTAAAAAAGGTTTCTTTATGTATAAAAAGGGTAAACAATTTAATGTAAAAGTGATAATGCAGTCATATATGATGCGTATTAAAGGAGTTGGAGGAGCAATTTGTGATCTGCGTACACACTCAAATCATCAGTGTTTAAATATTGAAAGAATTGAAAATGGTTTTGTAATCAATCAAGACACTATAACTATAAATGAAATATTTATCCAACTTGAATAAGAAGACCTTTCTTTACTTAGAAAAACCTCGATTATATCACAAACCTTCAAAGCAATTCCAACCTGAGATGTAAAGCTAATACAAGTAAATTGGTATCTTGTAATAGTGTTCATATTATTTTATTTTATTAATATGTGAACATACTTGATATTAAAAATTATTACATTTAAAAATTACTGATATTTTTATAGATTATTCATGCTTTACTGGGTACATTTGACCATTTCATGAAACTGTCGTACATGTGAAAGCTGTCCTCTTTCAATCCTTCAAATAGATTTCTGAAGCAAGTAGAAACTTCATAAAAAGAGGAACTATTGCACAAAAAATAAAAAAGGGATTTAATTATTGCACAGTTGCTTGTTTAATATCATGCAACATTTCAAATATATCATGCAACATTTCAAATATATCATGCAACATTTCAAAGGTTCAAATTGGTGCTCTCATTAATTCTTTGACTACTCTGATACAATAGGAAAACCAGGAACAGCAACATCAGGTTATATAGCTAGAGAACTATTACACAAAAAATCATATAGGGATTTAATTATTGCATATTTGCCTGTTCAATATCAACATTTCATAAATTTGAATTGGTGCTCTCAGTAATTTTTTAAGTATTTTCCTCAAAAAGAAAAATTTATGTGAATCAATATAAAAGCTATTGTACAAATTTTTATTAATTCCTATTTAACGAGTTTCCACCTGTTACAAAAATAAATTTACCTGGACCATGGATCAGTATAACACCATAACTTCACAAACTGATTGATCATTCTTGGGAGCTAATTTTTAATAATGAGGAAAGTGTTTTAGGAAATTTTTATGATACAGGGTTAAAAGGTGATAGCAAAGTATTAAGATTGATATAGACTCTCAAGAAAAAACTCCTAAACTGTTAATTTAACAAATACCATTAACCAAATGTGGATATCATCTGATCAAATTTTTTTTGACAAGAGATATAAGTCAAAACCATGCAGCAAATTTTGGTATGGATAAGGACATTCTAATAAATATTCTCATAAACAAAATGTCTCTAATAACATTTTATCTGAAGATTATATGTACTTTAGAACTTTTTTTGATAATTCTTATTGCTATATATGTTGGCGATTGATGTACCTATGTTTGTATTACAAAATATAAATACATATTTATAAATATTTATATAGATTTTTGTTATAACCTATAAAAAAGCAAATTTTATGAAATTTTTAATATTTTGGTCTTTTAAATTATGACCTCAGTATCTTGCAAAGTTATTTTTTAGTTTTTCCAAAATTAACACATAAAAACCTTTTCCTTTTTCCTTTTTATCTTTAATCAAACCCAGAGCAATTACTGTTCAAAAATTATGAACCAATGTCTGTGAAAAACCTGTTTGGCCCACTGTGCATAGAGCATTTAAAGGGCTTTAAATAGATAAAGTAATGAAGCAATTATCTTTTTATTTGGATAATTTACAGGGCCTCAAAGCAAGGTAAGTAGAAAAACAATCTTCACTTTTTTCTTAATTTTTTCAGCCTTTCATAATTTTTGTGTCTGTGTATTTTTTTGCGTAATTTTTATGTAATGATTTTATGTTTTGATCCATAAGGATGCAAAAATATGGGCAATCAAGTTTTTCAATTTTGATTGTAACAAATTTTGACTGAAATGAGATTTTTAAAAATAGGTACTTATGGTATATACTTAGTATATACCTAAAATAATTTTAAAGTTCCCCAAAATCAACAAGTTCCCTTCTTGCAAAAACTCAGAAAAGCTCAAGGTTCAAATCAACACTGGTCTTTCCAATAAAATATCAGAGGGTTTCTATTATACTCTCAAGAAGTCATCAAGTATTGCTTCAAAAAAAAAAACATAACCACATCAACTATTTATGATGCTTCAGAAAAAGACAACACCACAACCAAGGTCATGCATTGCATCAATCTGTATGATTTAAAGCGTGTAAAGCGACAATTGATTGGGGCCATGCCAAAAACCTTCTAGACCACAAGTCCATCTTTGTTCTTTTGGAGAGCAAAACATTCTTTTCGTAAACACAACATTCTTCATCGCACATGACATGAAAGTTGCTAACATCCTATGTGGAATCTAGTCTCACTACAGTTCACACCCATCTCAGATAATATGCAGTCAAAAGGAAAACCAATAACAATAATCAATCTGAACTCAATTTCAGCTCTACAACTCGCATTCAAGAGAAAACAAATTGCAGGCAAAGCAATACCTAAATATAATATATGGGCCTCTCATCCAAGCAGAGGATGTTTCTAAAACTGTCTTGGAACTTATATCTCTGATGGAGCTCTTACTTGGGGTGGTAAATCATCTTTACAAGAGTCTTCAGAAAATTTGGGAAGAAGCCAGTGAATGGCCCTCAAACTTGGATTTGAACATTCACCCCACCACAGTGGAGAGTTTGCTAACAAATTATTGTTAGCAAGAAGCTTCTCAATAATACATATCTCTTGAGTAAGCTTGTGACAAAACATCAAGTTACTTCTGCCAAGAACTTCATCAAGTAGTCATTTTTGTTTTGGAAACAATCTGTCTCCAGATTTTGAGGTTCACATGTATTTCATGAATGCATTTCATGACACTGCCGCTCACAGTGACTCCAGGAGTTCATCAAAATTCACAACACTGGACTTTGTGGTTATAGTGAGCAATCTGAGACACTTCATTCAGTCTTCAACTTATACAGGACAAGATATAAAAGAGGAAAAACAACATTTATATCTTAACTATGGAAAGCAGTTGTTTGACTGCATCCTCAACTACAACAGCTACCATCTTTAAATCAAAAGCAGAAAAAAAAATTTGGTTCAATATCAAATTTCAGCTTATTTTCAAATACAGAATATGTAAAATTTGAATTACTTTAATTGTTTTTTTCCAAACAATTTGAAATATTTTGTTATAAGAAAATTAGTCAAGAAAGAATTTTTCATGTATTTTTAGTACAACTTATGATCAGAAAGAAAAAAAATATTTCATGATGTTTTCATTACTATGACACAATTTTTATTACCTACAAGCAAACCTGTAACATAAAAAGGCAAAGAACTAAGCAGTAGGCAATCCAAGTATTCATTTTCCTTTACTTTTGTATTCTTATGACTTTTTTAAGCAAAAAATACAATTACAGGTACAAAAATTATTAAAGACTGAAAAAATTAAGATAACTTTATCAAAAACAGTAAAAATGTTTCCTCTACCTGCCTCGCTTTGAAATCTAGTAAATAAGCCAAATGAAAAGACAATTGCTTCATTCCTTTATCTACTGAAAGTCCTTTAAATACTCTATGGCTTTATACTGTTTTAAAAGTTGCAATGCACTTTGAAATATATTGATGGAAATTGACAGTGCTAAATATAGTGTATAAAGCTTTCTAGTTGAGAATCGAATATGAATAAAGTGTAGGGGGAATGAACTTGAAACCTCATATATATATATATGTTTGTGTATATATATATATGTTTGTGTATATATATATACACACACAAACATATATATATATATATATATATATATATACATATATAGTATTATATTATGTATATAATGTATATATATATACATTATATATATTGTATATTATATATATATATATATATATATATATATATATATATATATATATATATATATATATATAGATTATATTTGTATATATATATATTATATATGTATATATATAGTAAGCATAAATGAGTTCTGGGGCCATGTTTGTATCCTTAAAACACACTGACTTTATCAAAAAAAAAAAACCTTATCAAAATGAACTTCTAATAAACGTGCTCCACATTCACATATATCATCCTTCACAGAAACAAATGGAACATTTTTAAGTAATGACCAAATACAGTTACATCTAAAAATAAATTACAATAAAAAAAATTAATAATAAACAAAGACCTTAAAAAAAAAAAAAAATTAATTAGAATAAATGTTAAATTAATATTTACAGAAATTATATAAAAGCAACTTTAAAAAAAAAAATCATAAAAATATTTTTTAATGTTTAAAATATATTGTTTTTAAAACAGCATCAAATATATTTTAAAATATATTTTAACATATTATATATAATTATATTAAATATTATTTATATTTAATACTTTTTTATTAACTTTAAACTATTAAAGCTATAATTAAAATTTATTAACTGATCAATTAAAGCATTTATTATATGCAAGATTTTTTAGTATCAAGTTCTCCTCACAGTAACATAATGGCATCATAATGGCATCCTATCAAAAACATTTTTAGAAAAAGGCTTTTGGGTGAAGAAAAAAAAAAATTTCTGCTCTTTTTTTTGCTTCCGTTGTAGTTGTAGAGGTTTTATTAGTTTTTTTGATGTATTTATATTTGGAATAGTTTTGATAACGAAAAAAGTTTTGATATGAAAACTTAAGTTTTGATGTTTGAATAGTTTTTCAAAAGCTTTTTTTCATTTGATTTTGAAAAATCATTTTTAAAGATTTTCAACTCTTTGGTTTATTATAACTATAATTTAAAAAATTTGAACAATCCCTAATGACATTATGATTGAATTGAATTTAGACAATTTTAAGAATTATTGACAACTTGAGCAATCTTAGGCTACTATTTTGCCTTTTGCTTCTAGGACACTAAAGTAAATAAGGTTTTTAAAAAACAAATTAAAAAACTATAAATAATATTTTAAGATTCCTTTTTTTCCTTCCACATGCTATGAATAATCATGCATTTCACCCATGACTTCCACACCAATTACTCAAATACCGAGATAAGAACACCTGAAGTTTGAAAGTATTTCAAAAGCTTTAGTTATAATTTACAGCTTTAGTTATAATTTATAGCTTTAGTTATAATTTACAGCTTTAATTATAATTTACAGCTTTAGTTATAATTTATAGGTTTAGTTATAATTTACAGCTTTAGTTATAATTTATAGGTTTAGTTATAATTTACAGCTTTAGTTATAATTTACAGTTTTAGTTATAATTTACAGCTTTAGTTAAAATTTCCAGCTTTAGTTATAATTTACAGCTTTAGTTATAATTTGAAAACTTAAGTCGTAGTTGTAGTGTAATGAGTAAGAAACGTATTTAATACTTTTTACATTTATTTAAGTATTTAATACATTTATTTAACTTATTTAATACTAATTACGGTAATACTGACTATTATGATATTACTTTTAGTAATTGTTTTTAATAAAACCTTGCTACGTTGTTATATTGTTGTTTTATGCAGTTTATAAGATTAAAAACATAAAACGCTTTTAAAATAAAATGAAGTAAATAAATAGAACAATTTATAGTAGTAGTAATAGTAAAAGTAATCAGTAGTCAAACACACTTGATCAAGTACATCAAACTCTAAATAAAAATATTTTTAAATACAAATTCAAACACAAATATATTTAATTGGCATTTTCGAAATACAAATACAAATAGAAATATTTGTATGTTAGGTTTAGAATACAAAGATTTTTTTAATACAATGTTATTAAAATGGTTAAAACTAAATAGAAGAATGACAACTCTTTAAATTAATATCCATTAAGAAACAAATTTTTAACTTATTTAAGTGTTAAAAATAAAAAAAAATAAAAAATCATTTTTTGTTTTTGTAAAAACAAATGTAACAAATATATTTTAATCAAATACAAATACAAATATTCAAAAAAAATTTTTTAATCAAATACAATATAAATACAAATACACCAATTTACCCCATAAGTACCAAATAAAAATACAATTTAAAATACAAATACAAATACATATTTGACCCTGATTGTAATATTTTATTAAATTAATGAAAAGATTATCGTCATAAAACTTTAAACTATTATTTTTGCAAAAAACAAGTATTTTTTTGTAAACTCAAAAATAAAACTTATTAAATAGCATTTTCTTTATAGATGCTTCTTGATCTAGCAGTCTAATAAAAATTTAAGTACAATTAATATTTTCAAAAGGTTTTACACTGGTGCTTACATTCAATTTTTTAAATAAAATTGTTTTGCTATAAAATAAAGTAAGAAAAATTTTTTTTTTTAGTCAAACTATTATAATTATATGGTTTTAGTCAAACTATTATAAATATATGCTTAAATTTCAATTTTTTTTTTGAAAATTTTTTTTTGAACAAAACTAGAATATTTTTTCAAATTTAAATTTTTTATAATTTAGTTTTTATAGAATGTTTTTACAGTTAAGACTCCTTTACAAAAAAATATTTAACAATTAAAAATTTTTACGATTTGAATAAAATTTTCCTCTTAACTTGGACTATCTTCTAAATATGATATTGTTACTGTAGCTAAATTTATGTTTGATTTTCAGGAATGCTAGCCCTTGGGTGTTACGGGCATCACTACAGTTTCCATTCAATTCAAGTTATTGTTATTGTTAGCAAACGATAAAAATATGCAAAAATTTTTTTTAATTTAAAATTTTAGAATTTAAAATTTTCTTTTTTTCTAAAAATTAAAATAAAAAAAAGTTTTGTTTAGAAAATGTTTTACTTTGATATTGCTATTAACAAAATAAAAATATTTAAAAAAAAGTGGCATTGTGTTTTTTAAATTTTTAAATGAATGATAAATGCTATATTTTTTGGAAAAAAAACTTTAATGACATAAAAAAGTCAAAATAGGCCAAAAAAAAAAAAATTGCTAAATTAAAAAAAAAAAAAAATCACAAACAAAAAAAAAAAACAAATTGCAAAAGTAATATATTTATAAAGAGATCATAAGTAAAACTTTCTCTTTTCTTTTACCTCTCTAATAAACTTTTTAAATATCTAAAATGCTTCAACAGTTTTTATAAATATAAATTGTGCATTTAATTTTATGAAAAATGCATAGCTGTGTAACAGTAACACTAAATTCTAATTTTGTTTTTTCAATAATTTTTTTATGTACTTTTATACATTTCTATTCTAACCATTGTTTAAAATTGATGTTTAAATTTATTTTTTTTTTTTTTTTTATTCATTTGACTTGTTTGGCGTTTTTGCATTTTTTCAAAATACTTATTACAATTTTGCTAATTTGTATGCAAATTACAAGTAAAAAATTAAAAAGATTTTTACTTATTGCATATAAAATTTACTTATTTCATATGACATTTACTTACTTATTGCAACTTAGCTGCCATTTAGGTGCACTGAAGGGCTCCAACACTAGTACACCACCATCACAAGCATCACACTCCATCACTGATAGTTTAGCAAGTGAATGTTTGCAGGTAGGATGAGTGCATTGATTACAACCACTTTTTTCTTTCATTCCATCCAATGGAGGGTTAGAAAAGCAAAATGGACAAAGTGGGAAACTCTGATAACAAAGTGGAGAAAAGTTTAAAAGTATTAAGTATAATATATAAATAGCTTGTAAGTAATAACTTAAATAACTTTTGCTACTAATTTATGTAAGCTTATATTAATTTATGTAAGCTTATATTAATTTATGTAAGCTTATATTAATTTATGTAACTTTATATCTATTTAATTATTAAGTAACAAAAAAACATAAAAAAAAACATTGTTATGAATCTATCAAATATATTTATATAATGCATATATAAAAAAACTTAAAAAAAAAAGAAAACCTTTGTTGCTCCTCCTCTTGTCCATAAAAGTAACTCAAAATCATCTAAAGGACACTTCAATTCCTAAATCATAAAAGTAACTCAAAATCATCTAAAGGACACTTCAATTCCTAAATCATAAAAGTAACTCAAAACCATCTAAAGGACACTTCAAGTCCTAAATCATAAAAGTAACTCAAAATCATCTAAAGGACACTTCAAGTCCTAAATTTAAAAATCATAATCAACTTATAATCACAATTTTTTAGATCTTTTAAACTCTATTATTAGATTTTTTTGTAATTCGGACCGTAGAGAAAACTTTACTTTTTTGCAATATTTTTTCCCGCTTCGTATATCGTTTTTATATCGCGACTTATATGACTGTTACATCGCCCAAAATAAATTTTTAACCACTCATTTATTTTAAATTTATCTGGCTTTGTTATAGTATTTAGTTTTTCTTATTGCAATATTCATTAATATATTATTTATCTGCTGATTTTCATATTATTACTGTTTATTATGAATTTTTATGATTTATTATCTTGCATTGATTACTCAACTTTATTTGAATTTTCATATGCACAATTTTCATCCTTTATTATTATTCAGAGGAATTTTTTTATATCCTTCATTTAATGTCTACATTTATGCCGGTTACTTTATTAAGGTCTTTGTGCGACGATTTTTTCGCAACCACACATTGTTCTATCATTGTTATGATTCTAGGTTTCGCGGGTTTTTCATTTTCCTTCACTTTTGATTGGTTATCACATTTCGAACGAGTTATCTATGACAGCGTTAGAGTTTATTTAAGGCTATTGTTGTTTTGTTGATTAAAAAAATTTTTTTTTTTAATGAGGTATTCTGATTTCTGTTTATCTTTGGATTATTTATACGCTAATACGACACTTCAATTCCTAAATCATAAAAGTAACTCAAAAACATCTAAAGGACACTTCAATTCCTAAATTATAAAAGTAACTCAAAATCATCTAAAGGACACTTCAATTCCTAAATCATAAAAGTAACTCAAAACCATCTAAAGGACACTTCAAATCCTAAATTTAAAAATCATAATCAACTTATAATCACAATTTTTTAGATCTTTTAAACTCTATTATTAGATTTTTTTAAAGAAATTTAAATTTAAATTTAAATAAGTAATGCTAATTAAGTTTAAATTTTCAGTAAATGAAAAAATCTGTAATTTAAACACTTATACTAAATTTGAACATTTAAGTTTAGCAAAAGTGTTCAAATTACATTTAAATTAAATTTTATTTACTGAAAAGTGAAAATGGTGTTATCACTATAATCTTAGTTTTGATCAAAAGATTTATTATTTTGAATAATTATTTTGAATATTAACCTCTTACCCTCTGAGCACATTTTTAGAAAACCAATTCTTAAAAATCATCAAAAACTACTAATTTCACAGATCCAAGGGGGAAGTTAAATAAAAAAAATTTAGATTTTTTTCTGCAATGTTTATTTTTACCAATATGTTTGAGTATATATGCAGTATATATGTATATTTTTACCTATAAGTTTGAGTATATATGTATAGGTGTTTGATTTTTAAGATTATAAAATATTAAAAAATTTAAAAATTTAAACAAATGATGAAGAAATAAGTAACAATATTAAAAGATAAGTAAGAATAATAAAAGAAAGTAGATAGAAAGAATAATAAAAGAAAGTAGAATACAAGAACATAGAATATAACTTACTAAACACTTATTTAGTGTTTTTCTTTAGGTATTAAGAATTGTGAAATCATAACACAAATACGATTGCAGAAATTCAGTGTTCTTGTAATACTAGTTAGTGAGACCAAATCTTGTAGTTAGTGAGACCAAATCTCTTGGTGACTTTTATATAGCAGACTTATCAAATCTTTTACTAAAAGCTTTATTAGGCTCATTTATAATTGCCACATCAAAAGGTTTATTAGATGACCTTGACCAGTGAGATATTTGGTTAAATTTTGAATAAATTTAAATATAGTAAAGTATAATTTGTATTAGCAACTTTTTTTAAACAGCTATTTTTATCTGGCCAAAACGTTCATCCAGCCACATCTTTTTAAATTTCCGTCCATCTTTGTAAATTTTTATCCAGCCACATCCTTTTAAAAATATTATTTGGCATTGAACAGTTATTAGAATAAAGTTATTTGAACTTTTTCACTCTTGGTTCTTATATAAAATTTATTTATAATTAAAAGTTATTTATATAAAAAACTTTATTTACACTAATCCAATTGTTGAAAAATAATATTTTTGCAAAATATAGTGCAAGGATGTAAAGGATATTAAAACTGCCAGTCATTCTGAACCTAATAATAAATAAACAGGTTAATAACCCCTTTTATTTATTCACAGATTCAGAATGAATGGCAGTTTTTATAATTTTCCAAAAATTCATAAAAAATGCTGTCTCAGTTGTACTTTACCTTATATCTTTAATTTTTGTTATAAATAAAATTATTAAAGTTATGCACCATACACTAATGAGACTACTTTGTTTTACTTTGATATTTTTTCGTTATCTTGAATTTGTCTACAGAAACCTTGTAATAAAAAAATTATAACCTGTATATATTAGACATTGTGCAAATTTTTTGTGTGACCTTTTTAGGCAACAGAAAGTAGCAGAAAGAGAAAGTTGAGAGTGAAATAACTCTATGAAAAATTAGAGGGTTTATCTAATTTTAAGATTCTAGTGATTGCACAGTGATTTAGAAACACTTGAAATTTGGCAATAATATAGTTTTTTGAGTAGCGAAATTTAAACAATGTTATTAGCTAACTATTTTCTACAGTTTCATATAACTTTAACGTATAAAAAACTAAGTAAATAATAGATTTAATTTTTAATTTTTGTTTGAAAATGACCAAACAGATTAAAACAGCTTTTTTTTATCATTAAAATTTTATCATTATTCAAACTTAATTTTCTTCCTAAATACAAAACCTTTCATTTTAATTTTCATTATATACAAAGATAATAGATAATTTTAAAAAAAATCTATTCTAAATCTAAAATTATAAAAAAATTTAAATATGTATTTATACATCTTATAAAAAATACATTTAAAAAGTGCAATTTCTTTGAGCATAAACTGTTTTTTATAGTACTAGGACTTTTTACCTTGGACTTTCTTTTTTTTAAAGAGAGTTTGTATAATTCTGTTAGAAACTCAAAAAGATCGCTGCTCCAATTTGCCCCATTTTGAAAGAATGTGGTTTTAAAAAGCTCATTTTATAAAAAAATTAACGATTTAAAAGCTAATACGACATAAATTAACTTCAAATTTTATGTTTTGAGAATTTTTACTGACGTTTCTGAACATACCTTTTTAATATATATATATATATATATATATATATATATATATATATATATATATATATATATATATATATATATATATATATAAAATTACCAAATGCATAAGTCCAAAAACCTTTGTGAGAAACCATATGCTGTCACAGTTTTAAACTTTGTATACAAACATAGCTGGTATTTAGATTTTTTTTTGAAATGATACAGAATTGCTCACTGATATAATAATGAGGAGGATAAACAGAGAACATTGTTAACTGTTGAAAAGTTTGGTGTGCTTTTGTCTGGAAGACATTTAAAAAAATTTTCTAAAAGTAAATCTGTTGAAAGCTTATCTTCTTTTGATAAAAGGAAGAAAAAGTGGTGAAAATGAAAATAACAACATCTGACTTAATTTGTTTTTGAAAAAAAATCTATTAAAATGATACTATTATAAAATGTTGTATCTTTTTCTATTCAAAATGCGAAAAAAAATTTTTTTTTTGAATTGATTGATGTACCTTTACTTGGTAACATATTAAGGTAAAAGTAAACATGGCAGGAACAAAAACTCAAAAAAGTTATTTTATTTAACTTCCACCTAAACCTGTAAAATAGGTTGTTTTTGTTGATTTTTGAGAATATCTTTTACTAAAAGAATACTTGGGCGGTATAATACATTATTATATTATTTATATATTAATACAATTCAAATATACAAATACACACACAGTATATATAAAGCTACACATACTACTAGAGGAGACTTTGACTATAGGAGTCAAAATAATAATAGATTTTTGTAAAAAATTATGGAACAATTATAAATAAATTATAAATTAATTAATATTTAATTTAAGTATTTATAAAGTAATTAAATTTAAGTACCAAATTGTAAAATAAAATTGAGTATAGTGTAGTAAAATAAGTAAGAAATTAAGAATTAAGAAAGTAAGACTTGAACAGTGTAAAATAAAATTGAGTATAGTGTAGTAAATAGTATAAAAAAATAATAATTACAATGATGTTAATTATGAATTTTGAAGCAACATACGTTATATATCTTGACATATCCATCTTGAGGTAGAGCATATGTTTCATTGCAATTTGAACAATGTAAACGATAAGGTTTTGTTGTTATGTATTTCATATATCTGCAAATAATAATAATTTATAATAATTTACAAATGGTTAAATTATTAATTTATAACAACCACAATAATAATAACACTAATAACACTAAATAATAATAATAATAATAATAATAATAACAATAGTAATCATAATAATTAATTACACTGTAACTAAAATGCTTGAAAATATTTGAAATTATTGTGATGTGATCAAATTTTTAGTTTTTATAATCAAATTTTTTTATTTTTTTTCATCGGGAAACTGATTTAAAAACAACTTTTTAAAAATGTTTCAAAAATTAAAAGTTTTTATCTTTTTTATAATTTTCAAAAAAATATCCTAAACTAACAAAACCAAAATTTGCACCTTAATTCAAATATTATAACTTTTTACTCTGTTTTTGCGTGCATGTACATTTTAGAATCTTTTATGTAAATATTCTTGTGATGAAAACAAATGTTCTTGTGGTGAAACAAATGCTCTTTTAGTGAAAACAAATATTCTTGTAATGAAACAAATGCTCTTTTAGTGAAAACAAATATTCTTGTGTTGGGAAAACATATATTTTTAACTTGTTCTTTTACAGGTTTCCCAGTAATTTTAGGTAGTTAAATGAATCAGTTTTAATCAAACCTTTAATTTCTCTTTTTTTTAAAATATAAAACATTAAAATATTTGTTATGCAATTATTTGTTGATTGAAGAACAATTTTTTTAATCTGATTACTTCTTTTTTAAAAGAAGTAATTAAATAAAGTTTCGTTCAAAAATTAATTTGTGAAAAAATGTAAAAAAATAATAATAATAATAATAAATACTAATAAAAAATCAAATATTTTCTTATATATATTTTTAAAAGCATCAACTAAGCCACTTAAAAGATAAAAATAAGTATATAAGATTTCATATCTTGACCAATCCAAAAACTAGTTTTGCCAAGAAGTTGAATAAATAAGTAAAAAAGTAAATAATAAATAAATATGATTAACTAATATTAAATAAATATTGAAAATAATTTTTAAACTATTAAACTTAAAAGATTAGGATTATTAAAAACCCCATGTGAACCCTTTCTAAATGCTTAACTAAATTACTAATGCTTAATAATTATATTTAATATACACTACTGTTCATTCTTTTTAAATGATCGTACTTTTCGAAATCAAAGTTTTACTAAATATTTGGAGAAAAACTGAAAACAAAGTCTACCTGAATTATATGTTATCTAATATATATATATATATATATATATATATATATATATATATATATATATATATATATATATATATATATATATATATATATATATATATATATATAAATATATATATATATATATTTATATATATATATTATTAACAAAAAAATTTATATAAAGTCCCAATTAATTATTATAATTAGATTAGTTTATAAATGAACAACAACAGTTATTCATTTTTGAATATTGAAAAACCTGGAAATTTATTTTGAGAATGAGAATGAAAAAGTGCTAAAATTTTGAAAACAAAAATAAAGAATTGACGCCAATATGACATCACTGATATCAATTTGACATTATGTGTAATATAAAAGTACATCTATAATATAAAAAGTACACAAAAAAATTTAATTTTATAGTGCACCCTTTAAATCACGAGAAAAAGAATTATGTAAAATTAAAAAAAATTATTTTACATAAAATTATTATTAAAAATTGAGTGTTCACACCTTCTACATTTTCCACAACGTGATATTGGTTTGCCACTTTCTGATAATTTTGTAAAAGAACACTCAAATAATTCATCCATGCTATCAATGTGTTTCATAAAATAGTCAAACTTTTTCTCAAACATATCCACTGAATAAGTTAGAACAGCTTTATAATCTGCTTTCCCACTGGAAATCATATTCAATTGTCTCTCAACAGCAGCCCTCATGGTTGGTAATGCTAATTCAGGATCAATCTGTAAAATAAAAACATTCATAAATATTCTAATATAAAATATTAGATAGATTAGATATTTTGTGTTAAAAAGTGTTAAAGAGTGTTTTCAAAGATAAGAAAGAGATAAAACAGTTTTGATAAATACATAGA